TATGCTTTTCTAACCATTCGTTAAGTGGAATTTTATCGTCGGGTTCATAATCATTTTCTTTTCTTGCAAATCCATCGTGCTTAAAGCAATTTCATTCAATAAAAACACCCTATTGGTGAGTAAATCCAACAAAATTTTAAAAGCTTCACAATTCATACGAAGGTAATTTTTAAAGTCGTCAGGATAGTATAGTCGTAATTCATTTGTCAATGGCATATGCCCATATTTATTACGATCTTTCCTCTATTTTTTCACACAGATTCTGTTTTTTCTTCATCCATCAAATTCATATAAACAGCTAGACACAGAGCGACTTTCATTTTTTTGCCTAATTTTGTACATTTTGAGCTGAAACTCAAGGATTGGCCACAATCCTTTTGGGAATTGTGAAACTCAACGAGCCACGCCATTCGCGCACGATAACCAATGCCAATTTTGCACGTGGGAAAAGAGTTGGTGATTAGAACGTTGCAATTCTAGGGACACGCTCTTGGATCTAGGCCTGGGTAACACTGTGTTGAGTTGCGCTATTGAGTTGTTGCCGCTCTTTGAGTTAACGAGTTATAACTCATCGGTTAATGAGTTATAAGTCATTTATTAAAGCTTTAGGAGACCTGAGGCTGGAACTTTCACCTCTTAAAGAAGGGTCATCAACATTTTACTACTTTGTTCAAACAACTAAAAAAATTCAACTAGATTTTCCCAGCAACAAAACTGAGACCAATGAAAGTCGATAAGTTTTCTTGTAAAATCGACCTCTTAATTTTTTTTGCATAAAAGATTAAGTTTCCAGTATTTTACAGTAAAACGTTAGAAAAACGCGGTTTTTCTGTTCAGAGACAGTGTTGTTTATAAATATTGACCTAAAAGTGAAGAAACCCCAGTTTTCAAGAGTTTTCCAAATAAATGATTATAAACTTTCGCATTTTCAGTTCGGGGAAATATTTTTGGAAAAAGACCCAGAATTAATTATTAGGGTTTTGTACATAATTCGAAGCTGCAAAGTTTTCCAAAAATTTTTGCAAAACGTGAAGGAGGAGATATGTTTTTTTGACAGAGAATACTTGAACATTCTCTCGGGTTTATCCGTGGGATACATATGTCCCACTAGATTTCCAAAGACCGCAATAAATTGTAACAAGAATAAAGCTGGTTCACAAAGGTTCTCATGTTATCTTATATGATCAAAAAAACTTCGTATGAAAGATCTTAAACTATTCCATAACAGAAGGCCACATTGCAATAGGAACAAAGGATTTTATTTCACTTCACTTGTCTTCTTTTTGTGTCAGCTAAAGCTCCTTCGTCGTGTTTCTCATTCTATTGGTTGATGCTCACCAACATTTTGTAAAGAAAAGGAACTTTTGAATTGTTGAATTATTACAACGGCTTTTTATAACACTTGCACACACGCGCTCATTTCGAACCTAACCTGCTTACTACTGAAGACAGCGACTAATGCGCCACTCGTCGTGTTTTCCCCTTAACACCAAGTACATCAAGGCTCGTTTATAATGTCAGTTTAACATTAAAGCTTTTCAGGAAAATGCACCAGATAGTGAAAATTGGGTTAAGAACGTATGACGTTTTAATTTGTAACTCTAGACTGCTGTCAACTAATCGTTGTCGAAACTGACATATTCCATTCATATTTAAGAATATTCACGAGTTCAACTACCGATCGTGATGCTGCGAAACGTCAAATTACTCGTTGTCGAGTGACAGTTGAGACTTGTCAGAGGTGTTTGTTTATTAGAGTAGATGAAATTTGTAACATTAACCAATACTTACACTTGCACAGCTTGCAAAAGTTGATTAGAACAAAACAAATCACAATCAGATGTCAACACCAATGTCTACAAAGCAACTGTCAAATTACTACTAAACTTGTAGTTATATTTTAGCCACCAGGGGGCGTCTGGATTTTTGAACTCGCGAATAAACTATGCTTGGCGAGAGACATTGACATGTATTTTATTTACATTTAGTCCTGGTCATTGTTGAGGTGTCACTCGTCACGGGTATTTGTGTACGTTTGCAGCGCCCCCTTAGGTAGGTAGTGGAATTCGCGATTAGTTTGAAAGTTTTTGTAGTATCTTGCGCGGTTGTCAGCTGGAGCGTCTGTTCCCGCTGATTTGAATTCAGCGATTTTTGGTTGAATCAAAAGTTTTAAGTTAAAACTATTTTTCATTGTTGTTGAATTCAACTTTTCCATTCGTACGCGAAAGGCTCCTTACAACTCTTATCATGCTACTAGATACTATTTAAAGTACTTTATATTGAATTAAAAAAATTGGTAAAATACAAAACTCTGTTCGTTTATTAGCAAAATCGTTTGAGTTTCACATAGAAATTATCTTGCAGGCCGCCTCCATATCCTCCATATCCTCCAGCGCAGGGCTTTCCGTCCCAGCATCCACGACCGGCGCACATGGCGCCACCCCCCCATCAAATGGGGCCGATGGCGCCGCCGCCGGCACCCATGGGCCAAATGCAGCCGCCTCAGATGGGACCGCAACCAATCAACGCCAGTGGACAGCCGCCCAACCCCATGGTACGTTTCGGCTGCTTATGGCTGCTGTTCAGTGGCTGTAATTGTTGAGGTTGCAGGTTCCTTCTTCGCAAAGTCAGCCGATGCCGCCTCCTAGCCAGCCGCCCAACAGCATGCAGGGCGGCTACCGGGCCCCCATGCCTCCCCACAGCCGGCCCCCAGTACCACGGGGGGCGGGCGGCTTGAGGGCACCCATGGGGAATCGATCGCCCGGAGTCAGGCCGAGAGCGCCCATCATCCGACCGAGGGGAACTGGTAAGGTTTTGGCGAAGAGTTCGTAAGTTATAGAGAAGACAGCCGGACGATTTGTATTCATGTTTTGCTCGGCGTTTCTAGGACTTTGTTCCTTTGACTAACTAGGATACTTTGCGCTGTTGTGCAATGTATCCCAATTGTAGTACCAAAGTATCAAATTGTAAATTTTCTGGCGGCTTTTGACTTGAAAATTATTCATACATTCTAAACTCATATGGTTTGGATCCTGCTCTAATGTTATTTGCTGTGTCTGACTGTCCTCTCTTTAACCAATATTTTGGGTTGGTTTTTTTCGTCTATCACTAAAGTTTGTGATATCTCGATTATTTTCTTTACTATCGGGCTAGTTGATTTTCACGCCCACACTAATGTGACACTGTTTGCAGGGCCTTGTGCAGTGATCAGGGGACCGACGCGTCCACGAATCACCAACTTGCAAAACGGCCAGAGGCCGAGCAAGGCACATTCCGTAATCAAGCGCGAGTCTAATCAGGGCATACCGGGGAAGCGCCGAAGAGTGGACGTGCTGACTCCCTCCGATAAGGACGACGACGATTGCCAAGTGATATGCATCCAGCAGAAGAACTCGGGCTTGCCCCAAATCGAGAACGTCCACGGCGGGCCTGAATCGGTGGAAAACAGTATTATGAAGCTGTCCGATTCGATCACTCTATCGGTGCGGAATCCGCCCCCTAAGCCGGCAGATACTCCGCAAAAATCGGACGCCAAGGCGGTAGCCAATGTGCTGGCCAGTCGTGGAATCACGGTCACCGCTTCGGGGAAAAGCAAAGAATCTCCTACTAAACAGATGTCTAGCAGTACCGCTCTCAGTTTGAATGGAGCTGTCAGTATAGTTGCCAAGAATCTCTCTTCCACTTCGAAGGTAAGTGGCAGTTTTTGTACCGATAACTTGATTAGGATGAGGCTGCATCCGGCAGCGTGGTTCGGAAAAACCCAACTGCGTTATCTACTTCGGAAATAGCATGTTTTGATTTCTTGAGCTGAGGTTGTTTAGCCAGGATATCCGCCTGCCTGGTCAACGATTTCCGAAGAATTTGTACCAGATGCAGCAGCTAGTAGTCTTATGACGTTAGATCAGGTCGATCTGCCGGTCTTTAAACGGCCTAATCGTTGTCCCTTCTGTGCCAGTTCGCCCTCTTTCTTTTGCGTTCGGTCGTTCATTATCCTGTCATGTGTCTTACGGCATCTTCATTCGTATCCTTTATCTTGCGTCTATCTGTTCCGTTTATCTGTGCCAATTTAGTGTCTTTCACTGCTTCAAACGTTTGCCTTCCGTGTCCATCTTTTGGCTCCACACTAGAGGTGTGATAAACGGTTATTTTTCTGTAACGGGTTACAACGTTTCAGTTTCAAAATGCGGTTCCAAAAGGAACATGTTACTTTTTAAATTTTTCATTAAAAATGCAAAATGATGATATTAGAAATAGTGATGATATATAATGATTTTCTTTATTAAAAACGTAATTCTTAACATTGGTAAACTTAAAGTAAAATATTCTAAAATAAAAAACAAAACATAGGTCCGAGGTAACTACTTAAAGAACAAAAAAACTGATAATAATAAAACTCGAGTGACGGTTTATATGTGAAAATGTTTAAAAATCTCATTTTCATTTAAAAATGAATTAACATTTAAGAATACATTTTTTGCAGATGTTTTTTACTAATTCTAGTTCTTTGCGCGTTTATGATAGCGCCCGCTTTAAAAAATAATCTCTCGCATTTCGTTTCACAATAACATTAAATAATCCACAATAACAACAAACAGAAATGCGTGTTTGGCAAACCTGGACAAAGTATTACTCGAGTTAATTTTGGTACCATCATAAAATAATTTAAAAAAATATGTCGACCTTACAACGTTTATGACTATTCAAATAACTTTCATTTCATCTCTGACTGAATTTATATTTGAAAATAGCCAGCTTGCTTAAATGCAAGTGCACATTCTGCTTAAAACGTTTGTGATTTTACATTTCAACTGTGATAGAATTTATGTCTTAGACTCTTAGTTCGCTCATAGCTCATATGCAAGTGCATACTCTGCTTAGTTTGGTGGTAATGGGCATATAACTCCCGAGCTAAGTTTCTTCAGAGAAATCCGTTTTTTACGATTTATGACAGAATGTCAGTAAACTAAATACTTATAGACAAAAATTGTTGAATTATAATATCGCAGAAATTAAACATATTTTCGCTGGTTCCTAGAGAACTGAACAGTACTTCTTACAAAGGAAAAGTGATACACAATCATCAAGGCAACGCGCAACTACACACAACATATTTTCCGTTGACAAATGGTT